CCTTTTGTGCATCAATGCCTCCACCACCTCATTAGTAATAAGTGCAACATCGAGAACTTGTCTGTCTCCGATGGAAGCATGTTGGCATTTGCCAACCACCTTATCCATAACCTTGGACATTCTCCTGACAAGAATCTCTGCTATGAGTTTGTATATGCTTCCAACTAAATTTATGGGTCTAAAATCTTTGATGTTGTAAGCCCCTCCTACCTTAGCAATGAGCACCAAGAAAGATGAATTAAGGAATCTAACAAAATATCCAGGTTCGTGCAGCTCTTTAAAAGGTTCCAGGATATCCTTCTTCATAATGTGCTAAAGTTCCAAAAGATACCCATATTAAAACCATTTGGGTTAGGTGCCTTGTCTCTTTTGCACAACAAAAAACTTTCGAAAATCTTTTCTTCCGAGAACTCTCTTTCCAAGAAAATCCTACCTGACTCATCCAAAACCTTGAAGTAGATGTCGTCCAGTTTGCACTTTCATCCAAAATCTTCATGGTATAACCTGCTAGGATAATCTCTAATCTCTTTCCACATATGCTTGTTCCCTTCCACTAGCCAATATCAAATGAAGATATGTTGTAAATCATATTTTACAACTGAAAAAACTTGCAATTTTAAGTCGACTCAGCATGAGGCTATTCTTACTTCTCTATCAAAGCCTTAAGTCATGCAGAGCTATAACACTGATTCCTTTAAGAAAGATCAGGGTAAGACAGGAAGGTCCACCATGCTGAAGGAGAAGAAACTAACACGCCCATGTTCTACATGACAGAACTTCAGCGGAATACTGCCCAACAGCCTTTCAAGAGTTTCAGCGTCTGCTTTGGATGGAGGATAACCACTACAAGATAAGTCAAGAAACAGTAAAATGCAAAAGATTTATCAGCTGGTTAAAATTATTCAATGGATGGAGAATCTTTTATTTTGTAACTATGCAAGATGACACAAAAGTACAAGCATGCTTGAACATACATATGCCATGCATAATAACTAATTCCTTCACAAATTAAAAATGAAATGATCATCTGCTTCAACACTCAAATTATGCCACTATGAACAATACAAGGACGTTCAAGTCTAGCAAATAATTAAAATGCTTAATAAAAAAAAAACAATATGCAGCTAATTTGAAAGAAAAAAATATACAAATCCTCAAAAGTTATCAGAATCATGCAGTAACCCATGGAAAATTAACACCTTGGGGAGCTAGTAAAGTAAAGTTTTTAGGTAGAACTGGCCTTTGTAAAAATATTTTTAAAAAAATGCAGAACTCTGCCTAAATCTTATGCAGTTTTGAAAGACCAATAAGAAAAAATTAAACAACCAAGTATTGAATTTCAATAAACCAACTCTGGGCTATGAAATTACCTTGTTACGCAAAGCACAAAGCTAGGATCAACGGGAGAAGATTTTTTAAATTTGCTATTTGGAAGATAGATATCAAAAGCCAGCTTCACTGCATTAATATGCATATTATTGAACAGTTCAGCAACATAATCTTCATGTAGTGATTCGCCCATTTCATTTCTTTCAGAGTTTCCTTGAAGAGAAACAAGTTCATTGTTTTTGTTACCACCTTTTTCAGTCCAAGGGATGCCATGCCGCCCAACAATATAACCAAGAGATTTAAGGTGTCTATAAACCTCATAACATTCCCATCCGCAGCTGTGCTTTCTGCCAGCAACTTTTTGATATAAATCTTCCAGAGACATAGGTGTATTTGCATTATCATCATCAAAAAGTTTCAAAGCACCTATTTCTGCCAAAAACCTAGAAGAAAGTACATGAATTAAAATAACAGTTATTTCCTTGAATGTACGGATGCTTATTCAATAATTCCCATATTTATTTAAATGAATGTCGTTAAACAAAACTAAAAGTTTAAAAATGTTGGACTAGTCCCTGAAATCAAGTCTAATACAGTTCATTTTTCAAGAGTCTCCTGTTTTCTCAAAAGAAGCTTGAGATATAAAGCAATAACAACATGAGAATTCATAATATAAAACTTGTTTAAGTTGACTTACAAAGTTTCCTCAATCAAGCAATATGTCTTTCCACCACGAATAATTCCTGTTGTTGTCCACATTTTGCCCTTCTTCTCTAAAACCTCAGCCATTCCCATTTCCTCATCCCAACGAGCCTTGGAAATTTCTTTCCTGGTAACAAGGTGACGAGCAACAGCAAGTCATCCAAGAGTTCTCCTTCATTTGTAATAAGTTTGACAATTAGACCATTTCCACAAGGTATTACTTATACCTGAACTGTAACTTGGTCACAGAACCACATGCATATTGATGTTCTTCGTCGTCCCTATACTGAAAATCAACCTCATTGTCGCTTACTGAAGAAGTTTCCCAGCCCTCACCGTCCATAACATAAAAATTTCAACAGAAAATGTTCGGCCCTAATAACATTGACTCAAAAATAAATAAAACAACTTGCAGTTTCATATCGAAATAGGTTGTGATTGCATGAGAGGGAGAAACAAGAGTAAATTCAATAAAAGAGATTGAAAAAGAAACTAAACCGGCAGCTTTGACTGATCAGACACGTAGCGCCGGTGCACGTGCAGCTTTGAGTTGTCGTGACTTTTCGAAGGAAACCAAGAATTGTATATTGGCGATTTGTGATATGTGTATGATTATTAGGGTTTCGAATTGGGAATTTTAATTCAAATAATCGGATCGTTAAGGAACCAATGGTAAAGCATAACGGAAAAAACAATAAAGGGATTTCATATTACTTGTGTTTAAAAATGTCTGTTTTTTTTTTTTTTATATTGTTGAAATGATTTTTTTAAAATTATTATTTAAGAATTCAAAAATTAAATAAAATGCCCAATATAATAGATTTTGTGTTTGTGATGTCTATCATAATTAGTAATTATATGCATATTTCTTTATTTAATTAAGAAATTTACTTCTTATCAAATTAAAAACTATTAAAATTTAATTTATATAATTAAAAACTTTACTAACAATTCTTTTAAGAAAAAGGACTTTACCAACAATTTAATTACAAATTTTATGGAAATTAAAGCTATCTAATAAAAAATTACTGAAATTAAGATTATTTAATTTAAAAAATAAAAAATAAATAAAAACCAAAAATGTACATCAGATGTTTCATAAAGTAAACATCTGTACTCAATTGCAATGAAAACACACATACAACATTATAATTTACAGACATTATTAACTCTCCATATCCTTGTAACTTTTTTAAGAAATAAACCATGTTCCAAATAAGTAAAACATTATCATGTATTAATAATATAAATAAAATTTATTGAATAAATATGAAGAAACGACAACCCTTTTATCTCCTTAGGTTAGCAAGTGCTTAATCCAACAATGTGACAAACCATCCCTTTTTTTAACTCTCTACTTCCTGTTCCGTCTTATCCGCATACAAAAATCAAAGATACACAACAGTTGAACGCATGCTCATAGTAAAAATGTGCAGCATACAGACATGCGCTACAACAAGGCTTGGAAAGCCAGAGTTAGGTCATGTAAGAACAAAATGGTGACAGACATGGTGAAATTGGAATTTCCTGCTTTTTCATTTTCTTGTACAGAACGTCACTAGCATATATATGATAACCTCAACCTAACACCGTCCATCACAAGCTTCGAGCAACCTTTTCGTAAAGATCACGAGGCCAATTCTGATTCGTATTATATGCTAGAAACCCGGCAATCTGGAAAGGCCAATAACATGCCCATCATTAAGCAAGAACTAAAAGCATATAGTAGGTGATTCTAATATTTACTGGAACTGAGAATGTTAGTATTGCCGGCATACCTTTGCTCGCATGGCACGAAGTGATCCATCAGTATCTGTCACATTATCTAAACATGTTAGAGCAACCTTTAGGAGGTCTGGCACACAAGCTTGGACATGAGGAGATAAACTCTGGAACATATTAACTGTGACATCCGATGCTCTTGGATCTAAAGGAAGGAATGGGAGTCTAGCTACCTCCCTTAGAACATCTAGATGTTTGCCTTGTTTTGCTAGCCTGTGGACAGATAGGATAGCCTCCAGCTGTCTCAATACAGTCTGTTGCTCCAGAACATGCTCTCTTTCTTGGGAACTGCACAGAAAATTCATGTCACCTCCGAAGTAGAGGGAAAAAGCAGAAAAGAAATAATCATGCAGAATGGATTCCGAGAATTCTGCAAGCCAAAACTGGAGGAAGATCACAGAGATTGCTAACATAGAGGTGACCTGATTTCAGGATAATATTTGAATGTTTCTAGAATCTCATTCCCAGAATGAATGAGACCAGCAGTCCGACTTTCACCATCCAATCTTCCACGTGACAGGGCACAAATTGCTTCAGAGAGACACTTATTGATGGTATCCAATGCCGCTGAAAATGCTCCAACTCTCTTCTGAATTTCTATTGACTAAATTTTAAGACAGAATCAAAGAACAAAGAGATGGAAACAAAGGGGAATAAATGTTAGACATAGTAACAAACCACCAAAAAACATTAAATACAGCCAATGAAAATATGAGACATCATATGTGCAACTGGGTACTATGCAACCTGCCAGGAATACGCTGTTAATGTATATGAAAGAGTTACCAATCATAAATAATTATCTTCCACACAAGTTTGAAAATTTTCCAGATAATGCTAGGAGAGAAAAGGATTACTTTGTCATATAGCCCAGCTTCCTGACACTGGCGAGCAGCTTCAAGCAAAAACTGTTGCCTTGATTTAAAATCAGTAAAAAATCTTCCCAACTCAC